CCGGGTTGGACGACTCGGACGGCTCGGATGGCTCATCTCCTCGTTCTCAAGTCGTTGAACCTATTCAACACCAAAACAAAAGAGAAAACGCGCAAAAAATACGAAAACACTATACAAGAGCAAGAATATACGAAACATGACAAAATGGACCGGTCGAGCCTAAAACGGACCTAAAAACCACAAAATAAAACACATAAAACACAATAAAATAAGGACAAAAACACAACAAACATTTATTTTGTGTTTTGCGTTCATTTGAGTGTTTCAGTGTTTTCCGTTTGTTTTCTGGTCTTTTTCTGTTCTCTTTTCGTTTTTGGTGCATAGTTTGGAGACCCCGGAGGAACAGGTTTTCGAAAATCTATTGTGGAGGCTGACACCATTAGAAAGAGGGGCTCGTTAGCGACGTGTAGAAAAAAACGGAACTCAATTCCGAGTCCGAACGAGCCCGTACGAGCAAAAACAAAGTCGACGCGCAAAGCTGTCCAGGTCATAGCGCCGCTATGGCCATAGCGCCGCTATGGCCAATTCAGCTAGCGGCGGTACGTAGCATAGCGATGGGCTGCAGCCCGACCATTTTCTCCCTTAGCGGCGGTTTGGGGAAAGCGCCGCTATGGCCTGTTTTGTAACTGAAGCTTTTTTCTCGGAATTTCAAATGGAAAGGCTGAAGGGATCAAATGGGGGACGGATTTTATTCATTCCCAGACTCATTTTTCACAGTTTTTCATCTCTAGAACATTTCTTTCTCTTGCTTTGATCTTGGATTGGATTTTGGAGCATAAAAACTCCTTTTCTAGCTTTAGATCTTGGATTGCTCGTTGTTTTTCTCGACATTGGTTTTTCTTATCAATCGTAAGCATCTTTTCTCATTTAATTATGATGTTTTGTGCTTGGGTTGCTATGAGTTCTTGTGTTAAAATTGCAATGAGTGGCTAAATTCATTAGCTAGGGTTAGGGGATCATCGTTCTGGTTCGATTTCATTTATGTGGTTGATTAATTTGCTCAATCTTTTCGAGTTGTGCTTAACCTAGGGTTTAGATGTTTGATCACCATCTCAATCTAATTAATCGATTTTGAAACCGAAAGGGGAGAAATCGTTCGACCTAGGCTCGTTAAGAATAGACTTGTTCGGTGACGTATTGTCTATGTGCTAATCGATTCGTGATTGATTTGTTTACGTTAATTCTCTTGTTTCGTGAGATATTGAGAATGAACCTCTAGACGAGTTAGTTTTTTAGTCCTCTAGTCGAGTAATTGATTGTTCGTGAATTGTTTTGAGAACCGGAGACGATATCCCCGATACCCTAGCCCTTTTATCATTATTCGAATTTAAACTTTAAATTGTGAATTTGAAATTGCTAGTCTTGTTCTTGTTATTCGTAGTTTATAAAATCAAACCAAACCAATCGAATTAGAGTGTTTAGGACTTGTTTCTTGTTTCGTGTGTTCGAATAGTCGTGCAATTTATTCCAGCTGACCTTCCTTGTGATACGACCCGGTGTCGAATCTTTGGGTTCTACTCCGGTTAAAAATATTTACAACACTCGTGACGACAAGAATAGAGAAACCGCTTGAATGCAAGAAATCGTAAAAAGACAGTGAAGAAAAGTCGAGAGAACCGAAAGTTCAAGAGTTTGTATTTTCAGAGATTGCAAGTTAAAACTTCTAATATTTATAAGACGATTTTTGCGACCGTCGGAGAAACTATGGGCGCGTACAATGAACGCATCCCCCAGACAAAATGATGCCACTTTTCATGCATAAACCAATCTCCGACACCCACGTGGACAACTCCATATATCCATTGTAACACCTTAGACACTAGAACTCCTTTTCGCGAACCGTCGCATTTATCCACGACCGCTACGCCACTTCAACTTAAGAGAGTGGTAGACCTAATTCGCGCAAGTGGTCAGACGTCGAAATAAACATGGAAAGCATTCCTAGGTCAGACTTCGCGGAAATTTATAACGACGTCTGCAGCCGTCACTTTCGTATACCTGCTAGGGGTGAGCGTGGGTCAGTACGGTTCGGAGATTGATAAATCTCCAGAACCGTACCAAAATTCAGAGATCCCAAAATGTGATCTTCAGAACCGTACCAAAAAGTCGGTTTGCTTCGATTTGGAGATTTTTATTTTTCGGTTCGGTATTCGAGACTATTGGCACAGTTCAGTTCGGTATGGTTTGGTTCGAATCTTTGGAGATTTTCTATTTTTTTTTAAGTTTTTTTTGGATCCACCTAGTTATATTTTATTTTTATATGCTTTAGAAAAATAATATTCATCAATAATTCATCATATTGAAGATTTTATTTTGAAATAAATTTTAGAAGTAACTCTATATTTTAGTTATTTAATTTTTATATGCTTTAATAAAACCAACATTCATCAATACTTTCTCATATTAACAATTTTTTTTAAACCAGTATTAAAAGTAACTCTAAATTTTAGTTAAGACTAAATTTGTGCAACTAATATTGAAAATTTAAAATTCAAACAAAATATAATATTTTTTCTTAAAAAAATATTCTTTAACCTTTCATATTATTTTAAATAATTATTTTATAATAGAAGAAAATTCAATTATAGATCAAGTATTACGAACTAAGCATGAAATTTAAGTAAAGGTTAATAGTTATTATTATATTATATAGGATCAAGTTGACATAAAAATATATAATAACACATCTAATGTTATAATTCAGTTCTTAATTTCGGTTTCGGTTCGGTATGGTATGGGACGGTTCGGTTCGGTTCTCGGTACAGATATTTATGAAATCTCCAGAACCAAGCCAATTATTTTTTCGATTCGGTTCGGTTCGGAGAAAGTCAAATGGTCAACGGTTAGTTTTCGGTTCGGAGTGATTTCGTTTCGGTTTTCGGAACAAATAGGAATTCTCCGAGTCCCATGTTCAATCCTATTACCTGCTAATGCCAGGGTCATGTATGTTGACAACCGACCTGACCAAACAAAGCTTCAAAATACTAAATACGAATTAAGCACGAATTTATATGAATTTGGCTCAGACCAGACAGAAAAACCGACTTCATTCCTGAACTGGAAACCGACTTCTTAAAAACCGAGGACTCCTTCCAAGACCGACATCCAACGAAACCAAGTTCGATGCTGGTGACCAGGCGCCTACACGGCAAAACTGCACACCACACATATCGTCATCATTTTCGGTGGGCCCACCTGCAGAAAACCGCCTCATAAAAGTGTTTTGCATTTAATGCAGTCGTACCAACCTCGAATTACAAGCCTATTAAAGTTACTATAAATAGCAGAAGTTATTCTTGTACAAAAAATCCACTTCAAACATCACATATGCATATAAAAAATAAAAAAAACAACTCGGTTCATACAAAAACCGACTTCCTGTAACGCATAATTATCCATAAATAACATGAATTTCTATCATTTACACGTTTCATAGTTATTAAATCCCGCATAACAACAGACTAGGGTTGAGCGTGGGACTCGAGAATTCAGAACATTCTGAAAACCGAACCGAAAACTAACTGTTGACCGTTTGACATTCTCCGAACCGAACCGAACCGAAAAAATAATTCGTACAGTTCTGGAGATTTCACAAATATCCATACCGAGATCCGAACAGAACTGTCCCATACCGTACCGAATCGAAGAACCGAAATTAAGAACTGAATTATAACATTAGATGTGTTATTAATATATTTTATGTCAACTTGGACCTATATAATATAGTAATGACGATTAACCTTCACTTAAATTTCATGCTTAGTAATACTTGATCTACAATTGAATTTTTTATATTATAAAATAATTATTTAAAATAATATGAAAGGTTAAAGGATATCTTTTTAAGAAAAATAAATATTATAATTTGTTTGAATTTTATATTTTCAATATTAGTTACACAAATTTAGTCTTAACTAATTTTAGAGTTACTTTTAAAGTTGGTTTCAAAATAAAATCTTTAATATGAGGAAGTATTGATGAATGTTGGTTTTATTAAAGCATAAAAAAATTAAATAACTAAAATTTAAAGTTACTTATAAAATTTATTTTAAAATAAAATCTTCAATATGATAAATTATTGATGAATGTTTTTTTTAAAGCATATAAAATTAAATATAACTAGGTAATCATTCAAAAAAAATCTAAAAATTAGAATTCTCCAAAGATTCGAACCAAACCATATCGAATTGAACCATCCCAATAGTCCCGAATACCGAATCGAACCGAACCGACAAATAAAAATATCCGAACCGAACCGAACCGAACCGAACCGACCACGCTCACCCCTACAACAGACTCCATAGAGAATGATTCTTGAATCACCTACCTGGAGATGACGACTACAGGGATAGTTCAGGAGGACGCGGGCCGAATTACGACTGGTGCTGAAGTTAGTGTGGGTCAACCCACTCTCTCCTCTCCCTCTGCATCCCTCCACTGCCGGAATCCCCACCAGCGCCGGTCGGATAGTTTTTTCCAAGAATGTGCGGTATTTTTTGTTTTTGCCATTAAACAGTTGTTGAATAATTTGAGGAAAAGATGGAGGGCTGTGCAGTTTTGTTGAATTATGGAGGGCTCTGCAGTTTTATGGTAAGGATATATCTTAATAAAAGAAATGATCTTTATCACAATTAATCTTAATAACGGTTGAATTAAAATAAACTGAAAATTTTGGTATATTTGTAATATTTTAAGGTTGAATTAGCTATTTCACATATAATAATATGATGTTATCCTATTTTATCACAATCCAATGGCCATGGGCCATAAAATGCAACTTATGAAGCTAAAATGACACAGACATATGTCCACATAAGATAGTAGTCGCATGACTTTTTGAATAACGGTTCTATTACACCAAAATTAAAAGAAAATGTCCTATTTTGTCAATCATCACAAGTTACTGGCCAGAAAATCTAATTTTGCAGATTATTTAACCACCTTTATCAACAAGCCCAATTAAAACTCGGCCTGACTCGACCAGGTCAGACGCTGACGCTACAGCTCTGCGATAGTTGGTACTTGACCGTACCCCCGACCACGACCTCGCGCCCTACGGGTATCACCGCCGGACAGGCCACATGCAAGTGGACACGACCCGTGATGACCGGCCCAATCCGCCACCTGATCCGCCCGTTGATCCTTACGTCTAGCTGGACCGACCCGCCCGCCACATCCCGGGCAAGGGCGAGCCCGTTGTATGGAGCTATGGGGACAGAGTCGCCGTACACGAGCGGGGACCACACATCGACCCCCTGCGGGCCCTGGTAGGCCGGTGGGATTGCCGCGACGTAAGTCACCTGTTGGCTCTGGTAGTTAGCGTACATGTGGAGGGACTCGTAGTAGATGCCGGCCTTGCCATTTGGGTTGCGGGCCGACACGGTGACCTGGACTGCGGCCGAGATGGCGTTGGGGGCGGCAGAGATGTTGAGGCGGAAGACGGTGGCGTCCTCGAGGGTGAAGACGGGTTTCGAGGGGCGGAGGATGGCGAAGACGAGGATGCCGACGAGGACAGTGGCGATGACAAGGGCAAAGAGGCACGCAAGGAGGCGACGGCGGCGCCTGACGTCGTGCTTGTGGTCGGCGCAGATTTTTTCCGACATGTTGGGAGCCTTCCTTTTGTTTTGGGGGGTTTTGGGGTTGAGAGTAAGGAGAAATATATATAGGGTTTTAGTAGAATTATGGAAGTATATTATTTTGGAAGTATATTGTAAGTTTTGGTAATGGCATATATTTTTAGAATTATATTGTATTTATGGTTGGGATGTAAAATTCTGAAGGTAATTATATATTTGCTAATATCACGAGTTTCCCAAAGTTTTGTTTTGTATTGTTGTGGAAAATCAGACTTGGTAAGTTGTAATAATGTTCATAATAAAGTTAAATTAATATTACTAATAGTTGTTTAATGGTTAGATTTACTATATTTTATTAATATATATATGTACCCTTTCACAAGCAAATCACATTTTAAAAATATAATTTAAACAAAACTAAAATATGTATAATATTTTTTTCGTAAAAAAAAGTATTAGAAAGTAGTTAATCTAACAATAGCTTTTGTGTATTATAATACTTTACTAGCAAAAAATACTCATAGGAGTTCCCATGGACAAAAAAAAAAAAGGTCCTTTCAAAAATTGAAATTATATATTGAATTACTAACCAAGAAAGAATAACACATCGTGAGATGTAAAACTTGTTCATTTTTTTTAAAAAAAAAAAAAAAAAAAAAAAAAAAAAATGACATCTAAAATAATACATCGTGAGTTGTAAAATTTGTTCATGTTGTTAATTATATTTACAAGAATGAGTTGTTTAATAATAAATCGCAAAATCTATTAATATATAATAAGGATTAACTTATTTCAATTTTAGAAACTATTTCCCGCCAAATTCATTAATTATAGCCTGAAAATAGTAAATTAACATAATTTCCTAAAATTGTTCTTAATTATTTCCAATTAACATTAATTTTTTTATGGAATAAATTTTTTTATGGAATAAATCATTTACGCCATTATCTCCGATTTTTATTTATAGAACAAATCATTTTGTGGCTCCATAACAAAACAACGAGCATTAATTGCACATAATTTTTTAAAATTGGTCTTATTTATTTCGGATTAACATTAACTGTTTTTGGAATAAATCATTTTTTCACGCCAGGATTTCCGAATTTTTGTGGCTCTATTAACAAAACAGCAAGCATTAATTGCAGATACTATGGAATAAATCTCCTTTTTTTAATCTATCTATATATTAAAAGAATAACTTTTTAAGATATTTGGCGCCAATTTTATAAAACACCCGTCAATCTCATAAGAAGTGTCCAGATATTGTTGGACATTTATGAATAGGAAATACATCGACTGATTTATTGGGATAGGATACATGGAAGAAATCTTATCTCATCTTTAATCTGTTCACTTCACACTTAATCCCATAAGGAAAAATCCTATTATATATAGATCCCTATAAAATTTTAAAAATCTATCTCTTATCTATTTATTCTAACATATTTTTTCTAACAAACTATCGTAACAAAATTTCTTTTTCTTAAAACAAGTTAATTGTCTAATCGCAAATATAAATCATTCGGTAAATTTTTTTTCAAAAAAAATATTTTTCACTTATCTAAATACTAATATTTTTTAACAATTATTAACCCTTATAATATTTTAGATATTTTAGGACCACAAGGGCGGCAAAGCTCTCCCTCAAGCTCTCTCTCTCTCTCTCTCTCTATATATATATATATATATATATATATATACACACACACATGTATGAGGTTAAATTTAAGTATTTTTTGACATATTTTTCGTAGTTTAGAAAAGTGGCTTCAAACATTTTTCAAGAATAATATAGAATATTGTATATACTTTTTATATATGTGATATAATATTTTAGAGGTCTTTAGTATATTTATCACATATTTCTCTCCCAAACTACATACAATAAAAAGTTATAAGAAGAAATGTATAATTAAATATTGTCTTCAAATTTTATCTGATTATTAGTTATATATATTTGTTACAGTTTACATTAATCTTTGAGTTGTATTTGTAAACTTAGTAAATCTGCATAAAGCGTGAAATTATTATGGGTACAAAATTTCTTTTTAACGGTAACAAACTTATAAAAAAAATAATAATTTTGAAATATTATATACTCAAATTTTGAGAAGTACCGTCATAATTTGGGATCATGTCAATATTTATTTTATATATACTAGGTAAATTTTCTCTCAGAAAATTTATAATGTCTTTATTTAGGCTTATAAAATTTTAGATACTTTTATATAATATTTTATCATGTCATATTATAACTATATATATACATATACGCGCGTGCACACACACACACACACACACACACACACACACACACACACACACACACACACACACACACATATATATATATATATTAAGTTCAAATATTTTTAGACATGTTTTTTTTTTCAAAATAGTTTAGGAAAATTGTAAGTGTCTTCAAATCTATAAATAATATATAAAAAGACAACCTATTTACAAAAAATATTAACATAAAAATCAACCAACATTTTACGCATTCCAATTTCAACAGTTTTTTAATTTTCTTTTAATCTTAACCCAAAAAGTCGGTCATCCATAAATGCACCCTAAATTGATGAGTTTTGTTGATGTACTTTTTGAAAATTTCAGATATCAAAATCCATTCTCAATTATTAGAAATCAAAATCTATTCTCATTTTTTATTCAAAAAATCTAATTGAAAATTATTAGGTTTCATTTCGAATATAAAATTTTAATTTTTAAATCCCTTATCATTGAGTTGCAATAAAATCGGCCCACATTTATTGCATGCCTGTAGTTTTTTTAATTTTTTTAATCTATTAACCCCAAAAATCGATTAACTTTAAATGCACCCTAAAATGATGGGTATTGTAGATTTAATTTTGGTAGATTTCGGTAGTATTTACGATTTTCTAAAAATCAAAATCCTTTCTCATTTTTTATTCGAAAAATCTGGCTGAACTAAAACTTGGCTGAATGAAAATTTTCAATTAGAAAAAATACAATCACATATTCTCATATAAATGAACTTCCTATTGAACTACTATTATTTATATATATATATATATATATATATATATATTAGCAATATAAAATTCAAATTAACTATAAATTATCACGTTATACGTTTTACGATATCCGTTATATTTTGCTATGCAATCTTCATAAAACAAGTATAAAACATATAAGATATATCCTGCTAAATAATTTAATTTATTTATTTAAACCTGTCTAGAATTCTAATATATGTAACCTTCACGATCAGCTTTTATGCATGTTTCACGCGCTATGAATCTTAAGTGTTTGAAAATTTTAATTTGTGGCAGTAGACGATTTAACAAAAGGGCCAACAAATAATATTGTATACAAGAATGCGTTTCTTAATATATAAGTTACATTTTTTTATTCTAATATATGCGTTTTACGTTTTTTAATTCATCCAATCTAAACGCTTACCATAATAATACTAGCCCGTGCAACGCACGGGTACCGTACTAGTTCTTCATATAATAAATATCCTCTTTCAAGGCTCCTTATAAATCATTTATATGATCAAATCTTAACAATATCTTTCCATTTAAATAGTTTTCATCAATCACTCTTTTCGGTATCAACGTGCTAAACAACAATTTGTATAAAAGGATATTCACTACCACGATTATTTCTTCACTTCATTCACAGCGTTCAGAGAAAAAAAAATTATATAGATAAATTTTAGAATACATCGATAATATAATGCCGCCGGTCTGGGATACACTCGATTCTGTGAGTAGGACAAACAAACCTTATTTGCGATTGAAAGCAGTCCGAATAATTGAAACGCATCACGAACGGGAGAGCTGGAACGCATTCCATATATTGTTTCATGATGAACAGTTAAATATTTTCATTAGTAATATCAAAATTATTTCTAATATATTTATATTATGAATTTCATTGTTCTTCCATGTCCTTGAAGGTTATTATTTCTAATATATTTATTGTTTTATTAATTTTATTATGTTTTATTGTCATTCTATGTCGTTGAATTATGAATTTTAGTGTTATTATATTTGTTATCGTGATATTACGTCTCTCATTCGTTTGGATTAAGTAATATTTACACGCTTGAATTATTGAGTTCCAATTGTTGTTTAAAATAAAATATCGAATTCTTTTTTTTTTATGCGCTTAAAAAATATTAAGCTTAATCAATTAATCAACTAACTAAATAATATAATAATACATTTGGGAGATTCATTTCTGTAAATTGTTTCTATAAATTAATTAATTGTGTTTTTATTTATTGTGTTTCTATAATCAATTAATATTTTATGCGTGTATAAATTTTTGTTTCTATAATAAATTGGATTAATTAAATGTGTTTCTATAAAGATTAAGCTTAATGACTACATCAATTATTATAATGAATTAAACATGTTTCTATATATCTATTAAAACTCTCTCTCTCTCTCTCTCTCTCTCTCTCTCTCTCTTTGTATATATATATATATGTATATATATATATATATATAATCGTTTAGTATAAAAAATATATTTAAAAAACTCTATAAATTGCCGATGATTGTAAAACGGAAATCATATCTTCCATGTCGGAAAATTAAATCAAAAAACAATACTAATTCGTTCAGGTATCGGAAATTAAATCAAAAAAGAATACTAATATGTACAGTAAAAAGAAATTAAATCAATACGAACCAAATGCATATATGCGTTTTTGCTTTATTCAACACGTTTTACACTTTTGCAGATTTAATACAAAAATAGTTTATATCTTCTACACGATAAAAAACAAATGTACAAATCCATAAGATACATTTTGTGGCCGCATATTATGCAATTTTTTTGGAGTCTGCCAACAAAAAAATAAATATTAATATTTCAATTCATCAATTAATTAAAGTTGGACGTAAAGATTAGTATTTACATTCCTATAGAATACCCAAAATCCTACACCATCCAATTTTTATTCCCTTTCAATAAGTTTGTAATTAAAAGTCACTCTCAACAATTAAAATCAATTGAAATTAATATATATTAATTGATTCATATATATATAAATAACATATTTTATCAACTTCTCCAATTCCTTTCCATAAAAAAAAAACGCATAGAACTTTCGGAAAATATTAAAAAAAATGAGAGAGTTATTTGATACACTCCATGCTGTTCATAACAATTCTAATTATTGAGATGAAATTTGACGTGGAATCCAATAATTTTTTTGAGATCATTTTTCAAGATCGTGAGGTAATATTTTGATTTGTTATATCTGTATTACTAACATACGTAATTTTTTAATTTAACTTATTTTGTATAGCTTTATATTGTAGGGTGCGCAAATAACTGCCATTATACGTTCTGCATATATGTGTGCATTTCGAGGTGTATTTAAGCAAGACGATATATATGCACTCAGAGGTTTTTAATAATGTATAATTTTTTGTCAATGACGATTTTATGTTTACTTTATAAATGTTATACGTGTTATAACAACTTATTAATAAATGACCTTTTAATTTTTAAAATTTTTCCGAAACATGTACTAGACCGTGCATCGCACAGGTTACATACTAATAGTAAAAGACAGGAAAGGCCAAAAGGAGATTAAGATACTTTTTGGTCCTTGGGGGCTAACATGCAAATTGCCAAATGAAGCCAAAGGATAATAATAATAATAATAATAATAATAATAATAATAATAATAATAATAATAATAATAATAATAATAATAATAATAATAATAATAATAATAAAAACAAACTCTAATTGCAATATAATCTTTTTCTACACAAATGTCCCTATACCCTATCGGGAAATGATACGGTCTCGTTACGGAACCATTCCGTTGGGGGCATGTAACCGTTAAATCAACTATCCACGACGATTGCATGATGATCTAACAGTTACAAACCCCGACAGGATGCTTCCGTAACGGGACTGTAGCATCTCCCCTACACTATCATCCTTGGAGTTTGCGAAACCTCAAACTTTTGTGCTTCATATGAGAAGAACAAAATAAACTTGCAAAATGTATATCACAACATTTGGCTTTTCAAAGTCTATAACTGCAGTCTAAAAGGCACTGTTGTTTTCATTAATACTGACCTAATAACCTCAAATATCAAAGGGTGAATAGTAAGCTTGTGATGGTGCCTTTATATCGATCGAAAAGGGACAGAATGCCGAAAGTGAGAAAAAGAATAAGAAAAAGGATGCATCTGTAATAGAGGAAGAATTCGAGCAACAGATAAAGAAATAAAGCACACGAGTTGTGGAGGAAAAGGAATATGCAGGGATCGAACAAGATTATATATTCTACTCAGACAAGAAGCACCGCAAATATCTTCCAAGATTTTTTCGGGTTTCAAGTTCTAAATCGAAAGAAAATAGAACCACTTGCTACTCGTATAGCTCAAGTGCCCCATAAGCTTAGGCTAAAACAGTTCATGTTACAAGTTTTAGAACAATATGCAAAAATGCCAGAATTAGTAAGAATTAAAAAAGGAGTATCAAGTTCAAGAATTCACAAGCACCCGACGAAAATGAAACCGTTAGTAAGAAAATAACTATCTTTGCTAAGTTTTATATGAAAATTCGAACCAAGTCTGATACGAAAGAAAAAACAATACCTTATTGATTTTTTGGGATAACATAGAGCATATTAACTCGAAAACATGCATGTTCCTCAAAGGTCATGGAAACATTATCATTTTAACATGACTGTCGAGTCGAAGTCAATAGCACCGTAAACTTAAATTGCAAAGCGGTGGTAGAATGGAATGAAAGAAATAGGAAATCACGTTTCACGTAAATCTACCAATCGTTGGCAAAAACGAAACATGAATGCGCAGCCAGCAATAAAAAAAACTACTTGAGCTTCTTTTTATCCCGAGAGCTACACGTGACTTCATATCTGAGCAAAACATAACAAATTATCTCGATTCGTATTAACACAAGTCAAGGAAACATCTAGAGTCACACGACTTGTTATATAGTAGCAAACTCGAGCAATCCCACTCTTTCACCCGGAACTATGATCAGTTGATCTATTAAAAATGCACGTTGCTAACAATAAAAAGGAAGTCAATAACCGAACAGACGATGATCAATCAAACTAAACACGGAACAACTTAAATGAGTAATATCTTGAGCCACATAACATCATTTCATAACATCATGTAACCTTCAAACATTCACCAAATAACATCATCTCATTTCATAAGAAGACAAACTTCGAATTTCTTGAAATGGGTTCAAGAAAACACCGCTCATTTTACTCGATGCAGAACCTGCTTAATCGACTCAGCCAGTTCAATTCGCAAATTGCCGCCATTAAAGCTCAGATCTGTTTCAATGGCGATTTGGCTTCTCATGGCCTGGACCAACGGGGTCGGTGAACCTCCGAAAGCAGGACCTGCTGGGGTGGATAGAGCATGGAGATTTCAATTTGTCCGTATATGGCCATTAGGTGGCGGTCAGGGTTTGTGAGGATGAAGGCGATGTTGCAGATAGCGGCCATGGCGCCGAAGACCATGCGAAGCTGGGGAAAGGTCGGGGAGAAGCTTGCGAAGAGGAGGAAAACAGAGCCCCCAAATTAGGGAGTACCCCGGCAGAGGAAGGGCCGACGGCAAGATCCTGGGCGTACGCCGCGCGGTGTGCCGTCGGGAGAAGATGGTCAACGTTGGCTCAGCTTCGATACACCATTGGTGATGGGTGGGGTTAAGGAGCCTGGGACGAAGCTCGTGGGTGTTAATTTAAGGCGTTATGAAGATGGCGAGGGCTGGTGATGGAGGCTTTGAAGAGGGCACATGGAGGAAAAGGGCCAAAAATGGTGGCCTCAGCACCGGACGAGATGGCGGCGGAGCCATTTTTGTCATAACGCCGGCTTCTGGCGGCGGTTTGATTTTCATCCTTTTTTTTTTTTTTCCCGGCAATGTTTGCGTGGTGGGCTATACAGACTCTGGAGCTCCTCCAATGGCACCAATGGATTTTAGAACAAAATAAAAAAAAAAATAAAAAAAATTTTGGATTACCTCAAAGTTTTGGGCCATGTGCCAAATATTATTCATAGTTCCCATACCTGCAAGGTTCAACCGAACAGATGACATGAAATTTATTGAGCAGATTAATCCATCTTCACCCATATCATCGGACCGCACAATCTCTACCCGTTCATGCAGATGAATCTGCTATATTTACCGAGCAGATGGACCCCACGCATCCGAGCAGGTGAATCTGCTATGTCAATCGGGCAAAGAAATTTGTATCCGTCGGAGCAGGTGAAGCTACTACGTCGCCCGAGCAGATGGATTTCACGTCCTCGTGCGTGCAGATTGCTATGCACCCGTCCGAGCAGATGAATTTTCTACGCGAAAAGACATCTCGGTTACTGTACCCAGCTATCATTATGTCTCATTATGACACCTCGATTTCCGCGCATAATGCTTGCAGAGCGACCTTTTGATTTATTGTAGACCAACAGATCCTATCCTAGCTTCCATAAATAAGTCTCTCCACCTACTACCTCCTTCATACCTTGTTAACTTTCTATCATTTATTTTTTACGCAGAGAAATCACCCCTGTGTAGTCGCTCCTCCTCCATCAACGACCACCATTTTTTCCGACAACCCGCGCGGCGCCCCATGGGTAAGTGCTTCGCCTATATTTATTCTCCATATGCATCATATTTATTTGCACGCACCGAAACCGGCTCTCGCAATCGGCTTGTCTCCAAATTTGAGTTTCGAGTTTAGATAATTTTACAATCCACGGGCTACACTTGCATGCCCCGAAAATTGGTCGTAAAATTCGATTATCTGCATCCCTATTTAGTGAACCTCCATATATGGCCGTGCCATCCACCTCGATACCCTACTCTTCGAATTGTCCCATACTGTAATCTCACACAATTGTGTGATTTGTGCGGCTGTTAATACTCAAACCCCGCTGAAATCTTCCCTTTTTTTTTTTGTTTTTGTTTTTTTTTAGATATCAGACCGCTGGAGGTTATGTCCACTTCCTCGGATTCCGAACATCCTGACCCCGACTTGAGCTCCTCGGGCGAAGAGCTCATCGTGTACACCGCGGCATCAAGCCACTCGACACCTCCCGAACGCACCTTACAACTGCGAGATGAAGAAAATAACGTTCCTTGGGACACGCTCACCCCCATAGTCGACCCCAACTTTCTCTCGTTAAGTCACAACCCTCCACACGCCCTTGCTCTATCCTCTCTCGAGCTACGTGCTCGACAATCAAGGGTAAACGTAGATTCTGAGTCTCTCGCAAATCCCGTAGAAGTAACCCCCGAACTAGTAGTCATGACGCGAACCAACCCCTTCTTTACTGCTACCCCCCTCGAAATCCAGGCTTTTATGAACCTATGCGAGCTTCCATCTGATTGGTTGTTCAAAGCGCCCTTGCCGGGTAACTCATATAACCGACCACCCCATGGCTATTACACATTCTTCGTTGACCAAGTGATCAGTGGTCTTCGATTTCCTATTCGTTCGGACTTGCTCACCCTAATGGACCAACATGATTTTCCTATTAATCAACTTGCCCCCAACGGTATCTGCATCTTAATAGGCTACACCATCCTAAGTCGCTATCACTTCAATGAATTAAACCCCGAATTCTTTTTCTATACTTACGGCCTTAAAAAACACCATGTCGGATCATACTATCTTAGTGCTCGCAATCGAGCCGAGTACCTTAGAGAGCTAGATGCTAAGATCAGCCATTGGAAAACTCGCTTCTTCTTTGTAAAACCTCCCAACGGCACCTTTAAATTTAATGCGGAATGGGTCACGAAGTATGAACCAAAACCGCGACCTAAAAAGGTAGCCCGACTTAGTGAGCTCGTCGCTAAATGGAACAAAACTCCGTACCACATCGACAAACTCACCAACCCTGAAAACTTGCGTTCTCTTTACAACCTCACACACAAGAAGGTTGCCCCTTTTGATATAGGTAGAAATGCATATTAAAAGTCTTATTTCATTCATGACCATATCATACTGACATGATCATATTAATGTTGTGTCTTTATCGAGCAGATAAATTCTTAATCGGCGCTATCTCTCTGAAGCCTGATGAACCCAAGAAGAAAAGAGCTCGCGCACATCAGGTCTCCACCAGCGCGGGCCGTCGCCCGTCATCTCCCGCTCACGGCACGGGCGGCGATCTGTTGAAGAAGATCATCCCAAACCTCCACAAGCGAAAAGCTCTGATTGGGATAGAAGACTCTTCTTCAAAGCCAGAACAAAACTATACCACCATCCAGCAGCCGGCCACCTTTGCTATGAACAACGACCCGTCCGCTCAATCATCATACTTGCTCTCCATCTTCCCGGGCAAGGAAGCCGACCGTTGGCATGGGGATAACCAATCACAAGCCAAGTATTGCATGAAACATTTAGTTGCCGTAAGTCTTATTCCCTTGTTTGCACTATATCATTATGATGCCTAATTTACATCCAGCCTGACTGAATTATATATTCCTTCGTTTCTTTTTATTTATTTATTATTATTATTTTTTAGCTGAACTCAGGTCTGGCTGGCCTCCTTCATGGGGCCATTGGAGGTGAGATCCCCTCGTCTGCTGAATTCCAAAAGCTCAAGGACGCTCATGATGCCGCGATATCTAAGACCGAGGTCCTTGAGGCCGAGCTCCAAGCCCAGAAAACCGACAACATGCGTCAGGCAGAAAAGATAAAGTCATTGAAGCGCGACCGAAATTCTGAAACGGCCCGTTATCAGAAGGAGATCGACGCTCTTCATACCCAGCTCGACGCCATCAAATTGGAAAAGGCCAATAGAGAGGCACCTGCCCAACTGGAGACTCGTGAGGGCTTCC